GCCGGGATTGAACCCATGCTGCAGAGGCTGCGGACAGCCTCACAGTGTGGTGCTCAACCGCCTGCCACCAGGGAGGCCCCGAATGAAGAATGTTTTAATTAAATATCCTTTTTTTTGCCAATCCAGCTACTCAACAATCTCAGTTGAATAGTGTACTCTGAAATTTCAAAACTCAAATTTGATAATGTACATATTAAACTCTTTGACTTAGACTCTTAAAAATCATTTCCTTTGGAAGAAAGATCAGAATTCTAAAGGAAGTGATGTAGTCAACTTAAAAAAAAAAATTCCCTTTGGGCCTCCCCGGTGGCGCAGTGGTTGAGTGCTGGGTTGCGAAACTGCCGGCAGCCTCTGCAGCACCAGTTCGATCCCCAGCCGCTGGGCGAGGGTCCCACATGGCGCGGGTCTGCCGCCCGCTGCTCCCCTCAGCAGTGTACTTCGGTCCTTCTGCTTGCTCTGCTCCCCGGTCTGGCTCTGGTGAATTCTCTCACCCTCCCGCGATTCTAACCATACCCAGTGCTTGTATAAATAAATAAATCTTTAAAAAAAAAATCATTTCCTTTAAGTAAGAACATTTAACACCCAAAACACAATGGTGAGAAGAAATATCATTTCATTGAATCCTTCCAATTGGGGAATAGGTAAGTTAGCAGCTCAGGTAACTTCATTTCATCTTGAAGGATCCTGTAATCCATCTTTATTTCAACTCAGTAGATGAGCTAAAAAAAAAAAACAAAAAAAAAAAACAATGAGTTAAGTCTGATGGGGACTGTGCTTTGTTCACCAAGATCAGCTGCTGTTGCTGCTTGAGCCTCCTGGGGGGTCGCGAGAACCAACCCTGGGGTAGATGGTGCCCGTTGTTGGAAATGATTCACAGACCAACTTCTTCCAAAGTCCAGTCCTGCTTACTCTTCTAACCTTGGTTTCTGAAATTGTGAACCACTGTCAATACCCCCATGCTCCCTTCCACCGGGACTTCAGAAAACCAATGGAGAGCCTGGGGCAGGGACTAGAATTGGGAAGAAGAATTTGGATGCAAAACAGTTTCAGGTAAGTGACATCCGATGGGAGGGGCAGAAATTTGCCAAGAAGAGGATGAAGAAGGCTGCGTCTGTGAGTGTCCACAGTGCCCAGCTATCTGCTGTTGAAGAAGAAAATGCACCAAAGTAGAACAGACACAGCAGACTTTTTAATACTACTACAATAGCAGAGACTGACTTCAGCTCCATTGAAACCTTACCTGGAGAGTTTTTAAGCACTGTATGGGCTGGTGGGAGGATGCGGGAGAAGGATGGCAGGAGGTTGGTCCTCAGGGTGTGTCTAGCACAGTGAGTTGTTCCTGGGTTTGCAAAGGTTTTTCTCTGTGACTAAGTCAATCTGAATTTGCTAATTGCTGTTTATTCAAGTTCAGCTCCTACTTTCAGCAGTCTTACAGACATTGATGGCATTTCAGGTCCTTAAGGACTTTCCTGGGTTGCAAAACTGGTCAGTGACTGGGAGATTTATGTACCTGCCAAAGGAACAAAAACAAATTTGCAGCGACAAATTTCCTAAAGCAAATGCTCTAAGAAAAGGGTGGTCGGGAAGAAACTTGTGTAAGATGTATTCAAACTCAGGGGATCAAGTCCTTCCTGGCCACCGCCATTATATCAACTCTGTGCCATCTATGTGTGGGTCCATGATCAATGTCTCTGCTCTAGCCTGATGCCCACTGCCCATCACAGTGATTGGTATTTCCAAAGGGGAAGAGAATGGCTCAGGAGGTGCTGGCCTACAGTCTCTGACCGGTTCCAAGTGCTTGCAATGCATGTGAATGTCCCCATCTGCCTGAAGTCTGAGTGTCCATGTGGGTCTGTCTGTGTCCTTGTAGACAGGGATCCATTTGTGTCTTCTCTGTCTCCTGTACCGTTATTTTTAGCTCATTCACTTAATAATAATTTTTTATATCCCAGAGGGCAGGTTTATTATACAAAAAAGGAAAGGGAAAAAAAAGGAAGCTTGCACAGACACAAATGGGTAGGAAATGCTGCATCTGAAAGGGACAGATTTGTTCAAAGACACCTGCATAGGCACAGGTGGGCAGTCTTGGGAGGGGAGCTGCTCACTTAATAATAATTTATTAATAAGTTTTCCATGCTTGTCCTGTTCATCCAGGCATTCCTCTTCATTTCTGGGTTTATCTACATTTTTTTAAAAGATTTATTTATTTATTTATTCATTCATTCTTTTTTTATTCATTTATTTAATTATACAAGCACTGGGTACAGTCAGAAGCGCGGGAGGGTGAGAGAATTCTCCAGAGCCAGAGTGGGGAGCAGAGCAGGCAGAAGAACCGAAGCACACTGCTGAGGGGAGCAGCGGGCGGCAGGAGAGGTCTGCCACCATGTGGGACCCTCCTCCGGTGGCCGGGGAGCAGCTGGGGATCGAACCGGCGCTGCAGAGGCTGTGGGCAGCTTCGCAACCCATCGCTCAACCGCTGCGCCACGGGGGAGGCCCTGGGTTTATCTACATTTACATCTATCTACACTGCTTGATGGTGTCTCTTTCTGCACCCACATGCTCTGCCTCTCTGGGAACCCCCCCCCCTTTCTCTTATTATCTCATTCATTCATACAACTTCATAAACATCACCTGAAGCCTTGGAGGAGTTCACAACCCGATAGGGGAGATAGACACCAGCCCAGCCCAGGGTGCTGGTGGGGACACAGGGAGGTGCTTGAGGCTGAGTGTGGTGGATGAGTCGGGGAGGCAGGAGTCAGAGGCTTAGGGGAGGAACTGATGTTGCTTTTCTGGGTCCAGAGATTGGAGGCTTTGTGTATCTGAGTTATGGGTGGTGCATGTGCAGGTGGAGGGAGAGGAAGGAAATCCAATGGCCATGTGTGCCAATAGACTAGAATACAGAGAGTCTGTAAAACACAGATCCACTTGATATTAAAGGTTACTATCTTTTTCTCTCTGTGAGCCTGACTGTGTACATGTGAGGCCCCTTGGTCACTCTTTTCTCAGGTCCAGGAACCCAGGAACCCCCTCCTTCCTCAGTAATTCTGTCGTGATTCCTCAGTGATGCGATCATGATTAACTAGGAGGAGATCAGCCTGAAGAAGGTGGGCGGGGATAGAGGAATCTTGTCCAGGCTGGGCAGCCAGGATGCCTGGGCTCAGCAGGAAGAACCAGCCAGGCAGAAGTGAGAAGAGAGGAGCTGTCCTCGGTGTCTGTGCTCAGCTCTACACCTTTGCAATGGGAGTCCCCAGAGCTGTCCTGCTCTGCCTCTTTGGGGCTGTGCTCTGCCTGACAGGTACCCAGATGTTTGAGTCTAGTGATGAGAAGGGCCAGGGACCTGGACTGCTGGGTCTGAGCGGGGAGGTGCTGGGGGTTTGGGATCCTGGGTCTGAGCAGGGAGGGGCTGAGGGTCTGGGATCCTGGGCCTGAGGGGGTAGGGGCTGAGGGTCTGGGTTGCTGGGTCTAAAGGGGGAGGGACAGGGGAGCTGGGTTTCTGGGTCTGAGGGAGGAGGGACCTAGAGTCTGTGTCCTCTTTTCTCCTCCCCTCCCTTGTTCTTCCCCATCGCTCATCTTCTCTGGTGTCTCTCTTCCTACCAGCTGTTCTCATCCTCCTTGTCACCCGTACCCCTCTCATTCAAGGGCTACTTCTGGAGGGTCGTGGGGACTCTCTCCCAACTGGCAGGGGTCCTTGGCCTCATCCCCAGGCATCCCTGTCCCCCAGTTTGGGTGAGGACAGAGAGGAACTCATATCAGAACTGAAGTGGCTACAAAGACAGGGAACTCGAGGTGGAGGAGGCCGTGTCTGCACACAGCAGCCGGGCGGAGGACAGCGGGCGAGCTGTGTCTGTGTGTCCAGCGCCCAGGGGGCCTCAAGCTTGTGTGTCTCTCCATGCCAGATTTCAATGTCTGGGTGGTTGAACACATATTTTTATGTGTCTGTTTATCTGAGCTTCCCTTTCTTTGTAAAAGTGATGGGTAGAGAATTCCGCGGGCCTGCGCCTGCCTGGGTGTTCGTGCATCTGTGACGGGTAGGCCTGCTCTACCCCTGTGTCTCTGTGTTCAGTTATTTCAATGTGTGTGTGTGTCCTTCTGTGTGTAGCTGTGTTGCATGTGTCTTGTGTCTCCATGTGGCATTTGTCTGTGACTTTAAATTGCATGTGGTGTTGTGTTTTTATTTTGGGGAGGGGGGCTTTTCTTTTGTGTGCCTCTCTAACTTTGTGTCATTGTAGCCTCTGTGTCTGTGAGGCTTGAGTGTGTACTGAATCTCCCTAGGGGTGACTCCTGTATCCTTGGGTCGGTGGGTTGTAGCCGTTTCCGTATCCATACCTTTTTCTGTCTGTGAGCCTGACTGTGTACATGTGAGAGGTCTTGGCTGGGGAGTCTCTATCCGTTTTGCGTGTACGTGCTTTGCGAGGGCAGAACTCTGCGTGGATTCATTAGGAGTCTTTTATGTATATTTGTGAGTTTTGCATGAGCCTGTCAGTTTTGTGATTTGCAGTGTATGTCAGTGTTTAAGTGTTTTCTAAGTGTACGGCTGGGGCTGGCTGTGCATGTGTGTGTTTGTAGTACAAGATTGCACATCCTGGTACCTATCCTGGGTGTTGGGCTTCCATCAGTGGCCTGTTGGTGCTACTTGACATCTGACATCCTGAGTTCATTGAGTGTGGAGGGGACAGACAGAGCAGGAGAGAATCACTTTTTCCTTTATGTAAATCCTGGAGGACTTCCTGGAGTCAACTGCAGTAGGTATAGAGAGGACATTTCTCCTCCACAAGACAGACACAGCCATGACCAGCACTGGAGCCAATCCTGGTTCTCGGGATGCCACAAGGCCTGTCTCCCCCAGAGCACAACAGTCTGGCCTTTGTGATTGTCATTTTCAGGGTGGAGCCCCAGGTCAGTCTGCTTGTGCTGCCTGCTCCCCTCATCCCACTCTGCACCTCTCCTCAGAGTCCCAAGCTCTGCGATGCTACAGCTTTCAACACACCTACTCCGGCCCCTTTGACCTCAGCAGCATGAAACTCGATGAGGTCACCTGTCCCCAGGGATGCACTGAGGCTGTCTTGTCCCTGGACACTGGTGAGAGGCAGGGTGTGCACAAGAAAGGGGTGGAGACAGGGACAGAGAGCAGAGGTGGGCAGGGGAAGGGGAGGGTGAAGTTGGATAGAAGGATAAGGATGGAGGTGGTGAGGTGAAGAAAGAGAAGCACAGGGAGAGAAAGCAAGGGATGGATGCCGTAGAAGGGATGGAGCAGAGAACATGGGGAGGGGCGGGGGGGGGGGGGAGCAGGGCAGGAAGGAAGTGGGGGGAGAGAAGCGCTGGAGAAGGATGGGCTGAGGGGAGGAAGGGCAGGGAGGGTGGAATTTGAAAGGGAGGAAGGAAGGGGTAGGGCTGGAAGGAGAAGCAGAGAGGAGCTGAGGGTCCAGGGGTTAGGACTGAGAGCAGAGGCAGCAGTGGAGAGGAGAGGCAGGAAGGCAGGAGGATGATGGCCGGGAAGAGGTAGTGCGCCAGGCCCAATCTCCTCCTGCCGGCAGGGTACCGCTCCTCTTTGACCATGGTGCAGAAGGGCTGCTGGACAGGCCCGCGCACCGGCCAGATGCAGTCCAAGGACACCGCGTTGCCACCTGACTACTCGTCGGTGCGAGGCTGTGAAACCGATTTGTGCAACACCAACCTCATGACCCATGACACCATCCCCAACCTGAGCCCAGGTGTGCAAAAGGCAGGGCTGGGCAGTAGGGGGGACAGTGGAAGGGCTGGGGGCCTGGCCTCAACTGGGTGCCTCCTCCCAGCCTGCTAAGGTTCCTGCCCCGCTTGGGCTAGGCGGGCACACTGATGCAGTGCACAACCTGTGCAACCAACCTGAGAACCATTACTTGAGTGTGTCTCTGTATCTCTTGCCAGCACCCAACCCTCCAACACTCAGTGGCACTAAATGTTATGCCTGCGTGGGGATGAATCTGGAGGACTGCACCCCAGAAAAGTCCCGACAAGTCCAGTGTCACCAGGACCAAACTGTCTGCTTCCAGGGCAATGGCCAGATGACCGTTGGTGAGAGGCTGGGAGAGGGGGAGGCAAGGGGTGAGAAGGCAAGGCAGGCCAGAGGGTGGAGGCATCAGAAGGGCCTGACAGGGAAATATCACCCGGTGCTGCAAGGAGAAAGCACAACTCTGAGGAAAGGCCGTGGCATACATCTGAGGGGGAAGGCTAGCACTGGTCTGAGGAAGGGAGGCCTGATTCTGGTCTGAGGGAGGAGGCATTGCCCTAACCTAAGGAGGGAAGCTAGAAGGAAGTCTAAGGGTCCACTCGGAGCCCTAGTATCTGACCTGGAGGCTCCAGTGTGGTTGCACCAGAACTGCCTCCCTCAGTTCTCACTTCTCCCCATTGTCTCTCCCTCCCTGACCTCTCCCCTGCCCCTGCCAGGCAATTTCTCAGTCCCTGTGTACATCAGAACCTGCCACCGGCCCTCCTGCACCGTCATGGGTACCACCAGCCCCTGGACAAACATTGACCTCCAGGGCGCCTGCTGTGAGGGGAACCTTTGCAACAGGGATTCTGTGACCCAGTCCTTCACCTCAGCTGCCACGCCTCCTCCTGCACCTGGCCTTGTGGCCCTGCTCCTGGTGGTTCCCCTACTGGCTGACACTCTGGGAGGATCCCTCAAGCTCTCCTCATAGACAGCCCCCCAGCCTCTTCATGAGAGGGCACTGGGGGCAAGTGTCCTTTGCCCTCGTCCCCTGCTTCAGCCCCCACACTGTGGCTCACTGGAAAATGTCAAACAAGAGTTGCGTGCCTGGCTCTCTCTTTCTCTCCCTCCCTCTTCCCTACCGCCGCCCTTAGCGCCAGCAGGCCTGAGAGAAATTGGGCAAGGTCCCCAGCATCTCAGGGTGGGGAGGAACAGCCACATCCTGCCCTGCGTGAAGAGCAGGAAGAGTTAAGTAATAGGGATTACTAACTGAGCACACCCTCGCCCGGGGCACCAGGCCTGCTTCCCTGCACTCTTCCTCTGCAGCCCAGCCCCGGAGCAGCTCCAGCAGGGGCCGCCCATAATGTTTTTTTTTTTTTTAAAGATTTATTTATTTATTGATACAAGCACTGGGTACAGTCAGAAGCACGGGAGGGTGAGAGGATTCCCCAGAGCCAGAGCGGGGAACAGAACAGGTAGACTGACGGAATACACTGCTGAGGGGAGCAGCGGGCGGCAGGAGAGGTCTGTCACGCCATGTGGGACACTCCCCAGAGGCCAGGATGGAACCGGCAGCGCTGCACCGGGGAGGCCCCCTGCCCATGATGTCTTTATTGGCAGCATCATTAAAGGCTCCAGAGGCAATAGGTCCTAAATGTTAGGAGCCCAGACCTTGAACTCAGGCTGCCCGGGGAGTGAACTCCAGCTCCGCCATTTAGCCTGTGGATGACCTTGGGCAAGTTACTTAACCTCTCTGTGCAGATGTTTCCTCACGTATAGGTGGAGGTGAAAAGCACAGCCGATGACATTGATGATACTTTTCTATGGTTCTCACGGTGGTATGACCAGGATTTCATGCGGTGAACCTAAGGGATCTGTGACACAAGGTCAACCCGTGTAAGAGGAGCAAAGGATAGGTGAAGACTCTTGCCAGAGCCCATGAATCTAGTGAAAAGAGAGCCATGCCCTGCTGGCAAATCCCCCTCCCGAATACTTGGGTGTTGATTAATTTGACAGAGAAACACTGGAGGCAAAGCTGAGCCACGCAGTATTCTCAACCAGTGGCTATCAGGGAAGACTTCCTGGAGGAGCTACACCCTAAGCAAAATTCTAAAAGATAAAGAGGAGTAGGGAAAAAAAGCTTTCTAGATGGAGAAGCCAGCCTGGAAAAAGATCTGGAGCAGTTATTACATGAACATGTGAACTTCATATACAGACAGTCACTGCCTTAAGAAGGTGTGAGTCACGATTTTTGACTTGATGATGTAGGAAAACAGCATTCCATAGTGACATCTATATTTCTATATTTTATATAATTATATAGATATATAATTATGTAATTATATAGAATAGAGAATATATATGTATATATTCTCTTTTCTATGTTTAATCATGATATATATACTATATAATTATATGATTATATGGTAGTTAAATATATAACTATATATGTTTATAATATATTAAAGCACACACATAGCAGGTCCTCAGATAACATAATTTTGTTCAACGTTCTTATAACATCCACAACAAGCCCATCCCAACCAATGCTGAACTAAAACATGTTGTTCGAGAACCTGCTTTCGTTTTAGTTGTTTCACTTATAGTTGCAGTTTCTAAGAACATATCACGGATGTTCAGTGAGGACCTTACTGTATAATATATATGTAATAATTATATATGAATGTATTGTGTATGATTATATAGCTAGTAATATATTTATGATGCAAAATAATACATGACATATTGTAACATACAAGATGTAAAAATGTACAGTTATATATATTCAATAAAATGTCATGTATAATATATAAAATGTTATATAAAATATATAGCATATAAAAAGATAAGGTATATAATAGACAACATATTAATTTCATAATATGTATTTTATAAAAACACAATATATAATATAATTATATATAGTATATACCTAGGTGTCTATTTTGTACATTATATAATGTGTGTAATTATGTATATATTTCACTAAGACATATATAATTACATATAACATTTTCATCAAGCTATAAAATACACCCAGTAGAATGTGTAATTTTTCCATTATGTATGCATCCAGGCAACCTCCACAAGATAAAGATATAAAACATTTCTTTCCCAGCCCCAAAGACTCCCTCATATGCCTTTACAGACACTTTTCCAGCCCAGAAGCAGCCATTACTCTGACATCTCTCATTGATCAATTTTGCCTCTTTTGGAACCTCATAAATGGAGTCCTACAGCCTGTCCTCTTGTGCACAGGCTTCACATTTTACAAGGGTTGCCAAGGCATGAACAGCCCCCTCAGGGAGGTGTCCGCTGTGCCAACCCAGGCGCAGGATGATGGGATGGCGCTGTGGGAATGAGAGTTGGATAAGCAATAGATTTTGTTGGTAGAGCTGATAAGACTTCCCTCCTGGGTGTGGGGTGTGAGGGAAAGCAATGGCATTTGATTCTGTGTAAACTAAGAACATTCTGGTTTGCGCAGGGCCCTTCTGAGAATTCAACCCAATTCTGGTGCTATCCCCCCAGAGGAAACAACAGATTTCACAGGTCAGCCCTCCCAGACTACCTCGCCCCACTTCAGAGTCCAGTCGCAAGCCCTGGTTATTACCCGGGCTTCTGACCCACAAATCAGAGATTCCCATGATCTCCTCCTTCAGTTTTATTAGTTTGCAAAAGTGGCCTTTAGAACTCAAGAAACCGTTTACTAACTAGATTAGTGATTTATTCTTAAAGACATTAAAGTATATGAGGTTACAGTCGTTGAAGAGATATGGAGTGCAAAGTCCTGAATAAAAGAGTTTCTGTCCTTGAGGATCCTGCACCCCAGGGTAGCATAGTGACTCCTGGGAAGATGGAAGCTCTCTGGACACCCTCCTTTTTTCCTTGTGTGAGAATTTTTTTAGTAGTGGCTTCATTACATAGATATGATTAACTCATTTCTGATTGATTTATCAATAACGTACAGTCTCTGTCCCTTCCCAGGACTGAAACTATTCATGGTTAACTTTTCTGGTAACCAATCGCAATCCTTAAGTCTTCTGCAAAGTCACCTTCACTGACTTCCGTGCGAAGGAACTTGTTATGAGTAATAAAACACCCATATAAAGTTTTATAGGACTGATGGCAAGAGGCCAAATATTGTGATAAAAGATGTTCCCAGTTGCTCTTATCACTGAAGAAATTCCCAGGATTGGGCCTCCCCTGGTGGCACAGCGGTTGAGTACTGGGCTGCGAGGCTGCCTGCAGCCTCTGCAGCGGCGGTTTGTTCCCCGGCCGGTGAGGGTCCCACAAAAAAAAAAAAAAAAAAAAAGAAATTCTCAGGATTTGGGGAGTGGTGAGCAAGGACATATATGAAAAATATCTCTTGGTCCTCTGAATTAAAGACGTATTTATAATTTATACATATAATTTATATGTGTAATTACATATTTTTTTATAATTCACAAGATCTCAATTTCACAAACATGATGTTAAGGATGAAAAAAACACGAGACCACTTTTTTTGGCAATTCCATCCCAAGAGCCCAAAGGTTTTGTATGCAAATAGAGGTGAAGATAATGATTATCTGGGCCTCCCTGGTGGCTTAGGGGTTAAGTCTCAGCGCTACCACCAGGATGGCCTGTGTTCAATACCCTGCCAGGGAAGTGACCCACATGGCACCGCAGACCTCTCCTGTCTCGCCCACTGCTCCCCTCAGCAGTGTATTTCAGTAGATCTGCCTGTTCTGCTCCCCACTCTGTCTCTGGTGAATCCTCTCACCCTGGGCATACCTCAGCCCGAATAACAAAATTTTAAAATACAACACTTAATTAAATGATATCATGTCTGAGATTTGCATTCAAATAATTTAAGAAGTGAGCAAGCTGCTGAAGGCATAGACGAAATGCAATTAATCGTGAGTTGGTGGTTGTTAAATAGATACAAGGGGATTTAGTTTACCTTTTTGTTCACTTCTTATACTTGAAGTTTTCCACAGTAAATATATTTGTATATGAATGATTGTATACGTGAATAGATAGATGCATAGATAGCTAGCTAGGATGGCTGGATAGACGAATGGATAGATAGATAGACAGATAGATAGAACAGAACAAATACCTGTCAAACTCAGTGACTCAGACACTTCTTTCCTTAGGACTGAGATGTCTGATCCAGATGATTCAGTGCCTGGGTCTTACGCATCACCCCTTTCTCAAGATTCCTCTGCCCTTGCCAGCTTAATAAGTGGGCGCCTTGGTCAGCACCAAGGACAGGTCTACAGCAAAGGATCTCAGAACCAGAGACAGCAACTCAACTAATTAGGGGGACAAAAGACAGGGAAATGAGGAAATGATATCCTTCTTACCTCCAGGACAGTGTGAAACAGGATAAGAGACTAGAGTGAAGGATTGCCGATCAGTCCAAGCATTCCTTCAGCCAATACCCACTGAGCACGTGCCAGGCACTGGTTCGAACACCGGAGGTGACAAGGTCCCTGTCCTTAAACAGGGACTAGACAAAAAAGAAAACAGGATCATTTAGCTAATTCTAAGTGCCATGTTAAAGACAAAGCAATGAAGTAGGATACAGGATTATTTATGGAGAGGGAAGATAACATTTTTAAAGAGGTAGTCAAGGAACAGACCCTATTTGAACCGGTAACTGAATAAAATGAGGAAATGATCCCTGAAGAGGTTGGAGGAAAAGGCATTGAGGCAGAAAGGAAAAATGAGCAGTAAGACCTTGAGGCAAGAAAGAGCAGAAAATCTGAGGATCAGGGAGAAAAATGGATGTGGAGGAGAGAAGTAAATGGAGGGGAAAGTGGCGGGAGGAATTTGGGCGCGCGCGAGAGAGAAACAGAAAAAGAAGGAAAGGGTGAAAGGGGGGTAGAAGGAGAAGGGAAGAAGAGATAAGAGAATATGAAAGACAAGAAGAGATTGAATGCATGAAGAAAGATCAGAGGCAAAAAGACAGAAGCAAAATCATCCTGCCTGCAATTTATAAAGGACCATT